TCCCCATTCCCCAGCCAGCCTCGGCCCCCTGCCTCCCTCTGCCGGCTGTGTCCACGGTCCCGCGCTCCCCATTCCCCAGCCAGCCTCGGCCCCCTCCCTTCCTCTGCCCGCTGTGTCCACGGTCCCGCGCTCCCAGACTCCCCCACCTTCGTCCCACCGCTCCCTCCGGCAGAAAATGCCTGCCGTCACCTGACACTTAGTAGGCCCCCGGCGTAATGCGCAGCCCTTCTTTTCTCCTCCATTTTCGGTCGCCTCCCAGCAGCCTCTCCATCTTCTCCTCCACACTCCCTCTCCCCTTCCAGTCCCTTCTCCAGCTGGCCCGCCCCCTCCTCTCCCTCCGAGGCTGACCCCACCTTCCCCACCTTTGGCGCTGCTTCCCCTGCTCTCCGGGTCCCTGCTCCTTCCACCACCCCGGCCCACCGACTTCTCCTAGCCCTCTCCACCTTTCTTGGGCCGCGGCCTAGATCAGTGTAGAGTCTGGGAACTTCCTTCCCACTCTGCCAAGAGCTAGGCTTCTCTCTCTTTCTGACCATCCCCTCTTCCTCCCCAGTTATCTACATATGCAGCTCCCCAGATGCCTTCCGAACTCTGATGCTTTTGGCCATGGAAGCTGGTCTAAGTGGGGAGGACTATGTGTTCTTCCACCTGGACCTCTTTGGACAAAGCCTGCAAGGTGCACATGGCCTTGCTCCCCACAGGCCCTGGGAGAGAGGAGATGGGCAGGATATTAGTGCCCACCAGGCCTTTCAGGTAAGTGTCTAGGCTATAAGCCCAGGCTGTGGGACTCTGAGCTGGTGGCACCTAGTTTCTGGGCACTCGGTTCCTCAGGGTCTGAATGGATTCCAAAAAAGAGGCTCCTGATGCTCAGGGAAGCAGGTGAGGATGGGAAGGAGGGGTGAGGTGTGTATAGAGGACTAGGAGACTTCAGAGCTAGGAGGCCAAAAAGATGAGCGAATGGGCTTGAGGTGGGAGGGTATTCCAATACCACAGACTAATAGAACTTGAGAAGTCATCCCACTGGGTCCCCTGCTTTGGAGCAGGCAGCACCTGATACATGACATAGAGCCCATCCCCTTTGACCTTGAGCTAAGCAGAGATGCACTGGGGGAGGTGGGCCCCAGGGTACTGGGAGGACTGGATCAGCTCCCAGCTCTCCCCTCTCCACTGACCCCTTCCTCAGGCTGCCAAAATCATTACATATAAAGAGCCGGATAATCCTGAGTACTTGGAATTCCTGCAGCAGCTAAAACACTTGGCCCATGAGCAGTTCAACTTCACCATGGAGGATGGCCTGGTAGGGTGGGTCCTGGGACCTTCCGGAATGGACATCCAGCCCCCACCCCCACCCCACTCCATGGCCTCTGCCGGTGGCCAGCCTGTCATCTTAGCCATCTCTGGATGCCCAGGCCTCCCATGTTTCCCCTTCTCCTGATGACCAAGGGGGACATTGACAAGTTGTTCAGCCTCTGAAACTCAAGTCCTCATCAGTAAAATGAGGACGACGTGTCCTGCCCTATCTGCCTGGCAGGATTCAGAAGCAGAGGTATTTGTGGAGGCATCTTATAAGTAGAAAAATCTCTGTCCTATGGGGGTGTTTTCTCCCACCCTCCTCCAAGCTCCCGGTGCCCTCCATTTCCTCCTCCACAATGCCCCACTCACCACCCCTCATATATCCCACCCCAGCCAAGCTCTGCTCACTCCTGCAGGTGAACACCATCCCAGCATCCTTCCACGATGGGCTCCTGCTCTATGTACAGGCAGTGACAGAGACTCTGGCACGTGGGGGAACTGTCACGGATGGGGAGGCCATCACTCAGCGGATGTGGAACCGAAGCTTCCAAGGTCAGGAGCTGGAGGTGACAGAGATAGGCTACCATGGGGTGCCCTAAGCAGGAGGCCATGCATGAGAAGCCTCTAGCTAGCCGCTGAGGGGGTCACTCACCCATGCCTGTCCTTTTCTCTCTTATATAGGGAAGCTCCACAGCTTCCCTTGGGCCTCCTTCCCCATTTCCCTAGCTCCCTCAAGAAGTCCTCCTAAGTGGGGCACCTGGGTGGCTCAGTCAGTTACCAGGTCATGATCCCAGGGGCCGCCTAAGGCTCCCTGCTCAGTGGGGAGTCTGCTTCTCCCTCTTCCTCTGCCCCTCCCCGCTCTGCTCATGCTCTGTCTCACTTTCTCTCTCTCTCAAATAAATAAATAAAATCTTAAAAAAAAAAGTCCTCCTAAGTCCCCAGCTTCAATCATTCCTACTGCTGAAATGTATGTCCCTTTTGTTATTATATATGTTATTAATACTTTGTTACTATTAGATATGTTTGGAGGGCAAGGCAAAGAAGATCAAGGGATGGAGATAAGATGGGGATAGAGATAAGGTAGGGGGAAGTGCTGAACTTCCACTTTCTCAAAATATAGCCATCTTCCTCCATGCCCCAGGTGTGACAGGATACCTGAAAATGGACAGCAATGGAGATCGGGAGACTGACTTCTCCCTCTGGGATATGCATCCTGAGACTGGCACTTTCAGGGTAAGGTTGTGCCCCCAGGAGACAGTGCCAACTGTCAATGACATCTTGTCCTTCGGCCTTCCCCCACAGCCCTGCCAGGGCATCTCTGCTCTGTAGTCACCCCTACCATGCTTGGTCACCTTTGGAGAGGGATAAGAGAATCCAGGGATAAAAGAGACCCAGCTCTGGTCTGGGGGAGCAACCAGAATGACGGGGACCCTTGAGGAACTCCATGTCTGAGAAGGGAGCACAGCCCTACCCTCAGGAAGTCCCATGTCTCCTAAGATAGGCAGGACCCTCTCTCGGCAGAGACAGGCTAACTTGGGGGCCGTGCAGCTCTTTAAGTTCAGTCGGGAACAGGAAGGAATTGGGGCCACAAGCACTAAGGAGCAGATCATTAGGGGAAGACTTCCTGGAGAAGAGATACATGGATTAGGCCTGGGAATGTGGACTGAGAACATTGTCTTTTCCTGTTTTGTATGTGCTTCAGTCCAAGATTATAAACTCCCTGAATGTCAGGTTGGGGTTCTACATGGAGTTCTCTTTATAAAGCCAAGTTTTTCCACTCTAATGGCATGCGTATGAGGGCCCTCTGCATCTGGTCACAGCAGGGGCTTGCTAAATTGTTGACAGCAGCCCAGATACAGGCCCTGGGAGCAGACATGGGGTGGGTGGGAGGCAGCCCTGCTCCCGGACAGGAGGCGTCACCCAGGCCTTTCCCGCCCACCACTCCTGCCCTCCCATAGGTTGTTCTGAACTACAATGGGACTTCCCAGGAGCTGGTGGCCATGCCAGGGTGCAAACTGAACTGGCCCCTGGGGTACCCACCTCCTGACATCCCCAAATGCGGCTTTGACAACGAGGACCCAGCTTGCAACCAAGGTGACTGCCTCTCGCCTTCCAGGCCTCCATTCTGGAGACATTCTCTCTTTTCCCCACTTCAGGAGTCTAATAGGTGCTCCTCTCCCACACTGAGGGTTTTCTGGAGAGACTCCTCCTGCCTTTTTCCTCCCTTCATCCATCTTCCTAGTTCACTGATTAACTATGAGAAGTTTCCTCCTCCTGCTGTCTAACCAAATCTCTCTTGCTGGAACTTGGACTCTTGTGCAGATCACTTTTCTTCCCTGGAAGTGCTGGCTTTGGTGGGGAGCCTCTCCCTGCTCAGCATTCTGACTGCCTCCTTCTTCATATGCAGGTGAGTCTTGGAATGAGGGTGGGGAGTGAGGCTGGGAGGCCTGGAGAACTAGCAAAGGAAGCAGCAGGGACCTGGAGGGAAGTGGGACGGGTGGAGGGACAGTGGAGGAAAGCTGCAGGAGATGGGGAAGGAGGGAGACTAAAAAGCCTTAGGACACAGGGAGGAGAGAAGGAGGGCCAGGAAGGGTCTGGGAGCCCCGAGAAGAGCAGAGCAGTTGGGCAGAGCAGTTGGGCGTCACAGGCATGTGGGTTCTGGCCTAGGGGCTGGTGTCTCCTCCCTTCCGACTCGAGCAGACCTGATGGGGAATGATGGTTCAAACCCTGTGGCCCTGGGCCCAGTCAGTTGGCTAGGGGTGATGAACACTGCTTTATACTGGGTGCTGAACCCAGAGTGGAGGAAGGAGGTAAGAGAGCCCCACTCCCGCCTTCCAGTGGGAGGCCGAAATGAAAGGCAGACTTTAACATCAGAGGGATGCAAGGAGGGGAAGGAGAAGATCAGTGCTGGTTGAGCCTAGACTAAGCGCCAGGCACCGCCACGCAGTTTCTTTTCCTTCTTACAACAATGCTTTGAAATAAATGTCGAGGTCGCCAGTCCCCAAATCAGGACACTGGGGCATGAGGACATGAGGCTCAGAGACATGAAGTGACTGCCCAAGGTCCCCGTGAGGCAGGCAGGACTTCACCCACACCGCCTGACTCCCCCGTCCACCTGTCGGCACCTGCGGTGGTCCCAGGGTTCAGAGGAGGGGCTGCTAAGCTGCCCAGCCCCGGGGTCAGGGGTTCAGACACGGGTTCAGATGGAGGTTTCATGCCCCAGGAAGATGCAGCTGGAGAAGGAACTGGCCTCAGAACTGTGGCGGGTGCGCTGGGAGGACGTGCAGCCCAGTAGCCTTGAGAGGCACCTCCGGAGTGCAGGCAGCCGGCTGACCCTGAGTGGGGTAAGAACACTTGTAAGGGGAAAAGTGGGGGACAGCTGGGTGTGGGGTCGGGGGCAGTGCCTGGTTACTAGGGTAGAGGGCAAGGTTCTAGTCCCCACTCTGCCTTCACTTGCTGTGTGACCTGGGGTGAGTCCCATTGCCCCTCTGGGACTACCTCAGGTAGATTATGCCCACAGAGCCTCCTTCACAGGCGGCTTTCAAAGTTCAGAAACAGTATATGTGGAAATACATTTTAAAAAGAAATAAATAGGGGCACCTGGGTGGCTCAGTTGGTTAAGCGTCTGCCTTGGGCTCAGGTCATGATCCCGGGGTCCTGGGATCGAGCCCCGCGTCGGGCTCCCTGCTCAGCGGGGAGCCTCCTTCTCCCCCTCCTTCTCCTGCTCCCCCTGCTTGTGCTCTTTCACTCTCTCTGTGAAAAAAATAAATAAAATCTTTGAAATAAAAATATTTAAATGTTTAAAAAAAAGAAAAGGATTTTATGATGTGGAATGAGAAGCAGGATGACAGAGATAAGGCGGGCCAGAGCTCCGGCCACCGGGACAGAGTGGGCTGACCACCCCTCCTGCTCTCCATCCCTCCAGAGAGGCTCCAATTATGGCTCCCTGCTAACCACAGAGGGCCAGTTCCAAGTGTTTGCCAAGACAGCATATTATAAGGTGCGCCGGGGAAAGACTGCCATCCTTGGAGCTGGGCAGGGCTCTGGGGTGGGGTGCGGGGCACAGGGCGGTCCCAGAGTTGCCTGCAGGAGCAATTGGAGTCCCCACCACTGGGCCATCTCAGTGACATCCTCCATTCCTTGCCCAGGGCAACCTTGTGGCTGTGAAACGTGTGAATCGTAAGCGCATTGAGCTGACACGAAAAGTCCTGTTTGAACTGAAGCATGTAATGTGGGGGAGTGAGGCAGTAGCCTGGGGGAGAGTCCCAGGGACATGGGAAGGTTATGGGAGGACTACAGGGTATCCCAGGAAAGGGATGGACCCTCGCATATTGTACGTGGGAGAGAAGGTCCTAAATGGGAGAAGAGACTAGTGGAGGTATCCTGGGGGGGGGGGGGAGTCCTGGAGGGGCTGTATTGGATGCCCCTGGGGGGTGGAGGGATTAGGAGGCAGAGTGAGCAGGGAGCAGATTCTGGGGGAGGGTTCTTTAGAACACGGGTGGGAATCATCAGGGTCTTAGACCGTCTGCAGAGTGAATAGGGCATTAAGAAGACAGGGGTCCCTGGGGGGGGCACTTGGTGAGGAGTGAGGTCTCTGTCAGGTTCCTGATACTGGCTCCTACCTACAGATGCGGGATGTACAGAATGAACACCTGACCAGGTTTGTAGGTGCCTGCACTGACCCCCCCAACATCTGTATCCTCACAGAGTACTGTCCCCGTGGGAGCTTGCAGGTGAGGGGAGAAGGGGTCTCGGGAGATCTGGGTCTAGTCCTGCTTCTGTCCCCCACTGGCCATATGACCCCAGGCAAGCTTCTCCCTCATTCTGACCTTTATTTGCCCCATCTATAGAATGGGGGAGGGGGGCAAATGCACTAGAGTAAATCCAAGGCTTTGTCCTGTCATGCCGGTTTATGTCAGTAGGCCTCTGCAACCCACCCTGGAGTCCCTAGTGTACATGCCTGACTCTCATTGCCCAGCAGGACATTCTGGAGAATGAGAGCATCACCTTAGACTGGATGTTCCGGTACTCTCTCACCAATGACATTGTCAAGGTGGGATATGTGGGGGAGGGGCCAGGCATGCTTCTCCCCAGCCCTGATTGTAGGTCCCACTGAAACCAAGACCTCTGCCTCCCCAAATTTCCCAGGGTATGCTGTTCCTACACAATGGGGCCATTTGCTCCCATGGCAACCTCAAATCATCCAACTGCGTGGTAGACGGGCGCTTTGTGCTCAAGATCACCGACTTTGGCCTGGAAAGCTTCAGGGACCCGGAACCAGAGCAAGGCCACACACTCTATGCCAGTGAGCCCTAACTCTGACTCCTAAGACGCCCCTCCTCCCTAGCACAGCCCCGCAGGGGAACTGATGCTTGGCTTCTCAAGGGCTTGGCACGGCTTTCCTGATTCCTGGTTCAGTTCATTCTCCAGTGGAAAGGGGAGCCTGACACAGTGGTCTCGAGGCTTCTTCTGTAGCACTCGGTTTGATGGCTCCAGATCTCTCCAGCCACATCTTCTAGGACCTTGTTTCCCCCCACCCCTTAGTTTTAGGGCCCTTCGCCCCATGACTCCTGACCTCTGACCTGCAGAAAAGCTGTGGACAGCCCCTGAGCTCCTGCGAATGGCCTCACCCCCTGCCCGGGGCTCCCAGGCAGGTGACGTGTACAGCTTTGGGATCATCCTTCAGGAGATTGCCCTAAGGCGCGGTGTCTTCCATGTGGAAGGTTTGGACCTCAGCCCCAAAGGTGAGAGAACCATGTTGTCCCCTAGCCCTGCCACAATTGCAACTACACCCAGCCCCAGGGTGAGGGACCCCTGGAAACACCACCACACCTGCCCCTTGGCACGTGGCTCAACCACACCAGCCTGGCCCTGGACCTCCCCACCATCTCTCCCTGGCCCTTGGCGGGCCCCTCCCCTCAGCCCCTCTTCCCCCACACAGAGATCGTGGAGCGTGTGACTCGGGGGGCGCAGCCCCCCTTCCGGCCCTCCCTGGCCCTGCAGAGTCACCTGGAGGAGCTGGGGCAGCTGATGCAGCGGTGCTGGGCCGAGGAGCCGCAGGAGCGGCCGCCCTTCCAGCAGATTCGCCTGATGCTGCGCAAGTTCAACAGGTGGCGGATGTACCTCCCAGCCCCCCACCCCCCCACAGCCACCCTGTGCCCCACACTTAAGTCTTCTCCTGGCAGTGGCAGAGAGCCCGCTCCAGCCCACCACAGCCTCACAGCCCGCTTTTGTGAGTGCTGCATAACCCAGCTGTCCCATCGTCCCCCACCTCTCATACCCCTCCCCTCACCAGCATTGCCCCGCCCACCCGCCCCTCCTCTGAAGTGGTGCAGAACCAGTGGAGCTCCCTGCCTCCCAACCCTCCACAGGGGCTCTCACCCCAGCCCTTGGACGTCCCTGCCGCAGTTTGCCCCAACCACCCCTCCAGACACCCCTTTGCCCGCCCGTGTGCCCACACTCCGTCCTCGCTTGACCCCTGTCCATCTCCACCTCCTCTACCTCCTTCTAACTTGCTTGTGTTCAACAACAAAGATGAACAAAGTAGCCAATATCTCTCCAGCTTGGGGCCTGACTCTGGGGTCTCAGAGATGAATGGAACTTTCCTCCTACGCTTTCCCCTGCCACACCCACCCATCCTGCCATGCTCCCCAACCCCAACCCTCTCCAGGGACCCCGCTGTAGTTAGGGGATGGGCTCACATGAAGCCTGGGAAGGGTGAGTGCCAGGGTGGGCACTTCCGGGTACTGCCGGCTACCCCGCTCTCACTGACCCCTGCCCACCGCCACCCC